CATAGCTTGCAGCTAGTGTGATGAGTTATGTGCCCCTCTGAAGCCAGAGGGCCCAAATTTTGCTTTTCAGGAATGATCAGATCGCTTGTATCTTTCAAGTTTCTAGTGCCTGGTCCACGAAGTGATAGGCACTCCACACACACAGTCCCACAGCCCACCTTCATGCCAGTCAGCCCCTGCCATTCCTGGTAGAGCTGGGGACACTATTAGGGTGTTGTTCACATTCTTCATTTACAGTCCATCCTCCTTATTGATGGCACTCTGCTCTGGAAGTTCATCATGAACAACGAATCTGTTAAAACCGTACATCACTCCTAGGGGCCAGACCCGGTTAGGCTCCTGTATGCTTCTGGTCACAGCAACCTCATCAACTCATCAGCAAAGAACCTTGTTTCATGGGTGTTTCTGTTTAAAGACACCTTATTTAATAGATAGTTAATTCAATAGCTTTGAACTCACAGACAGTGGCACATTTTGGGTTACAAATGAATTTTAAGGCGATGTGTGAATTCACAAAAATGGAATCTGTGAATAATGAAGATTGACTCTCTCTCTCTCTTTTTTTCCTTTAACGAATATCAGTTATCATAAGAAAGAAGTCATGTCTGGAGTTACCTGACTTCTTTTTTACTCGGAGTCTCACAGGTGCAGAGTAGATGTGCAGGGCAGGGTTTTCTGCTACCATGGTTTTGGTGGTTGCAGCCAAACTGATGGAAGACGTCACAACCTCCGAAGCTGTTCTCAGGATGTCCCTTCTTCCTGGGGATGAATTAGACCCCTTTGGAAGCTTTCCTGCCTGTCCTTCTTTTGGCATCATTGAATGTGGACTATAGTGCTTTTGCATTAAACTGGAGAAGAACAGCGATTTTGAAGCCCTTGTAATAAATCTCACCTTGAATAACCAGCTGGGTGAGGCACGAAGCCCATCTACCTAGTAAGGTGTGAATAACAAGTAACGTCGATGGTTATTTTATGGTTTAATACTTTACTGCCAATTCTCTTTTTGATTTTGGTTTAGGAGAGTGTGGCTGGAAAGCTGAAGGAAAGGGTCATTTGGTCTGCATTTAAGGAATGTGGTCTAATTTGAGGGAGCCCTCTGTGACTTCGCTTTTAACGTGTTTGTGAAACCTCCTTCTGAAACCCAGCGCCGGCCTCCATGGCTTGGTGGGAGACACTGGGTGCAGGGTTGGGATGATCTGGGGTGGAAGGCGTTCTGCTGGTGAGATTGTGTGTTGTCGGGTGCTGTGCCACGTTGGCTGGGATTCTACAGCTGTTTCTTCCCAAGCTGCTGACTTCTGTTGACAAGCCAAGGCCGACTTAGGAATTTGTGCGGAGCATCTCCCTCAGAGGAGTGTTTGGCTCCTTGACAGCCATGTGTCTGTCACAGCAAATTGGAATTTTGGAGAAGGAGGGGGTCCCTCTAGTGAATTTGGCCGCGATGAAGATCTCTTCTGCGCGGTGACAGTTTCCGGAGTGACTGTCCTCAAGGGAGGAAAGCTCACGTCCTCGTATCTTCTCTGCCCTTCCTTTTCTGTAAGGGTTTGTCATCAAGAAAGGGGCCCAATGTGCTGATCTGTAGGGCTGACAAATGGAAAGGCGCTCGTGGAAGAAGTGCAGAAAGGGGTCAAGGGGAAGATTCAATTGAGACGTTATCATTTGAAGGCTGATGGATTCGATGTAGTGCCAAAACCATCCAGATATTCAGATTCCCGTCATGATTGTTATCTTCGTCGCCTTTACTGAATGGGTCAGATAAGAACTATGGTCGTTACTTGCTGGTCAGGTGGATATGTGTTGTCTGTGAAGGTGAGTGCCTGTCAGCCTTGGTGGAGCCAAGAAAGGTGATAAGGAATTTGGCATCTCCCAAGGTTCCCAGCAGAGGGAAGTCAGTAAGCCTGGGCTCTTCTTGACCCTCTCTTCTCTAGTCCTGGGATGGTTATAACCCCCCTGTGTCTTTTTAGCTTCTGTTAAAAGATTCATGTGCACCCCAGAATAGGAAAATAGGAGAGACCTAATTGGAAGGGGGTGAGGAGTGTGTTTCTATCAAGGAACAGCATTAACACCAAGCCAGTGCATCAAATCATGTTTTATTGGTTTACCTTATGAGTCTTTGAGAAAAGCAGCTGTCACCAAAATTTCATGCCACTTTCCTGATTCATAGCTCTTTTGCCATCTTGGGAAATGGGGCACAACTTGAAAATTGCCAATAAATAATGAATAGCCATGCCCCTACTTCCCAGGGCAAGGTGAAACATGTGAAAGAAGTTAATAAGGACCAACAAGGCAAGACATTTTGTTCCTTCTACAATAACAAGTCTTATCACCTTCCTCCTCCTCTAGAATGTGATCAGTTTTCCCTTCGAATGAGGGGTTTTGTTTATGGTTTCATTTCCCTGACGTTTACAAGGACTGTGCACCGACAGGGCGGTCCCTAGTTAGGTACTAATGCTTCTCGTGGGATGGATGACGAGCTCGGCTAAGAGGCTGGATGTCTGCCAGCCCAGGAGAGGGGATGAGGATGAGAAGGTTAACTTGACCAGAGTGTCTTAGTCTAACACTTGAGTCTCTATAGTTTGGGGGGGGGGGGGGGGAACAAAGCAAGGGCAAGTCTGTGTGCCACTGTCACTTGACTTTATTTTCAGCATCATTGTTTTGTCTTCTGTGCTAGAGTTATGCAGTCTTTACTTAAAGCTCTGGATTCAGTTAGGCTTATTACCCTCCTTGAGTAGCATCGCTTCCATAGGCCTAAAAAAGAGGTCATCGGAATCACAAGTATCAACTAAATAGAGTCAAAAAAAGTAACACTGAGATTAAGATGCACATTTTGAAGTCAAGCATAAAATGCCCTCAAGAGCATAGTGATTTTCTGGTGCTTAATTACGTAAAATGCTTTTAAGTTTTTGATTTGGTAAATTACATTGTAATTGCATGTTCATGTTGGTCAGAACACATACATGCTTTCTAAAGCCACATATGACATTGGCAGCTGGACAGTGAGGAGGGAAGCTCCTGGAAGCTTGTCTTTTCTCTGCAGCTCCCTGGGGACCCAGGGACCCAGCAGTGAGGAGGGACCCAGCAGTGAGGAGAGTGAGGCAAGGTGGACAGACTCAGCCAAAGTCAGGTGTTTATATGTGAAGGGGCCTGAAAGCCCTGGTTGTAAAGCGAGAACAGAAGCCCGGGAAGTGAAAATCTGGATTTCGTTTTGATCAGCAACTGCAGAGGAAACCCTTCCGTTCAAATGAACATCATTGATTCACAAATTGGAGGACTTTTTATTTAGAAATTCTCCTGATATCTACAAAATATGGGTTTACCAAGGGAATTATCAGGATAAGCCTGAGATTCACAAAGATAGTGTCCATATTCCAGAGGAAAAGTATTTTCCTGACTGCTCACCACTGGCCACCCGGTTGGCCTTGCTCCCCTGTCTTGACTGTTCACGGGAGCCGCCGTCAGTACGAGGAGACCTCTCTGAGTGAGCAGAGAGGTTGTCGGGGGTGGTGGGGGAGGAGGCTGTGGAAGGTTCCTTGAGTGTGTCCGCAGGCCCAGCAGGTGGGAAGGGGAGACATAGTGGCAGCTAGTGTGGCAGGGTCTGTGACAGATTTGGATTTTACAGGAGTACAAACAGGGCCTGGAATCTGTGTGAAGAGCATCAGAAAACTTCTTCGGAGACTTGAAAACCTTCCAAAGAGATAGGAAAAAAGAATTTCATTTTCAGCGAAGGTGGGATCAAGGCTGGCCTTGTGCCTCGGGGCCGGGAAGGTGTGATTTTTCTCTCCTTAGGACTTTGACTCGGACACAGCCTCCATGTACCTGCTCCCTCCTGAGCACCTGCCGAGGGCCCAGCAAGCTCTGGACCTGGAGGAGTGGCTTAGCTTCTTGGGTGACTGTGATGAGCGGGGGATGTCATATAGGAAGGATGGCCCTGCAAGGTGACTTGAGGTCGTGCGCCTGGTCTGTTAACACTGCCACGCACCCTGATGTAAGAGAAGGAAGGCTCCTTGCATGTCTTTCTTGAAGGTGCTCATTGACGGAGGCCTGACCTTGGCGGTGCAAAGCGGACAGGACATGATACCTTCCCTTGACATGGAGGCCACCAGATGGACAACAGAGGGTGATTTGAGGAAGCTGGAGGCAGGGCCGCGTGTCCTGTCTACGGAGCAGAGGCAGACCCACCACAGGGAGACACCGAGGGCACACACGGATTGCAGAGCCAGCAGGGATGCAGGCGCAGCTCTGGCTTGAGCGCTGGTGGCCGACGGAGCAGATATAATCGAAAGGGCAGGCGGGACGCGGCTCTGGACTCAGGTCAGCTTTGTCGAATCACAAGCTGCACGTAACATCAGAAGGACAAAACAAGCCAACACCAGTGGTCAGTTTAATGCTGTTTGCTCAGCGGGGGGTGGGGGGTGTTTTCTTGATGGTTTATGAAGAGGAAACACAAACCCAACCAGACTGTCGGGCCACGGCGAACTCTCCCAGGCACCGTCCTCCCCACGTTACTTGTGCTGACACGTCTGCTGGCAGAGCTTGTCAGCGCGAAGTGTCCTCTTGTAGAATGTGGTCTGCATTTCCTAGTGGGCTTGTTTACCTTCCAGCTGCTTCAGTGGAATGGGCTTTCACTGAGTGAAAGGTTAGGTTGTAACGGTGGCTGCTTTTACAATCAGGACGCTTGAGAACTTTCCCGGGTTGTTCAGCGCTGCTCTCCTGGGCTCGATGGGTCTCTCCACCGGGATGGTGGCAAACGGGTGCAGGCAAACGGGGCGCCGTTAAGTCAGCCTCTTGGGTCGAAAATTTTAAGGGTGTGTTTGCAAAAAAGAAAAAAAATATGAAGGCTGTGTCTGGACTCCTACAAAGAAGCAGCAGGTTTGCATCAGGGCCTCCTGGTTCCACTTAGTGAGTCCGATTGGATCAGATGGTCTCTTTGATGGAGCTGCAGGATGGGCAGCGTGCTTCAGGACTGACCTAAGGCAGCTGACGTGGTTGTTTTTAAACCTTAGGGAAGCTGCGCTGGTTCTTCATGGGGAGGAAGTTTCTGTACTGTTCATCCTGAAATGGACAACATGACTCACTGCCAAATGTGAAAAAAGAAGATCTTTTTACTCCCCCGCATGTGTAAACACTAAACACAGCAGTGTTTATAGGAAGGTAAGATACCATCTGGTTCACTGCGTAGTAGCCTAGTTCTTATTTTCATCACTAATTTATACTGAGAGGATGACAGAACAGAATTAGATTCTTGGTTATACAACACACCCAAGGATTCTTATAGTGATAAGCCTTCTGTTGTCTCAAAACCATGAAAGAGATCCTTAGGTGGGATGAGTGCTGTTCTTGGGCACCGTGGCCATCCCAAGATGAGTCACGTCTTCCTCGTGCAGCCCCTGCTGCCCACCTTTGACGCTGGAAGATCCAACAGGTAGTTGGGACTAATTTCAGCTGGATTTAGCAGTCTTTTATTCTTCATATCTTTGGAGAAATGGACATTTTGAAAAGCAACACCGTAGACTGCCTTGCAAGTTGAGACCCAATTTGCTTGGCCCTGATTACCCTACCCCATGCAAAACAGCAACCTTGGGCTTGAGGTACATAAAATTCATAAAGTCACGGAAGACCCAGAACTGACACAGACCAGCGTGCAGATTGGCTTGGGTTGGCTTACATGGATCTGTATTCATCAGTTGCCCTTCCTGAATTCAAAGAGGACGTCTTTTCATTTCTCTATCCTCAGTTGGAGAGAGAGCCTCTTTTTTGGCTAGTAACTCTTAAAACCTGCTATCTTGTTCTTTTTTTTCTTTTTCTAGGAAAATATTTTTTTTCCAAGTGATTTAACACATCTCCATTTTGCTAACAGTTCTTTGTGAATCCCATGTCGCCCGTCTTTGCAGGGATGAGCTATCCTCTTTTCTCCATGCTCGTGCAGCAGACCTTTGTCTGCCTTAGTTCTGCTCTCTTCTGGGAAGGATTGGGTGCCACTTGCGGGTTTAATCTGTGGCAGACATTTCCCTCTTCCTATGGAATGACCAAAGGACCCATCTAAAAACCCAAGCCCTTCCTGTCTGTTTTAATAAAAGTTAAGCGGGATCCCTGGGTGGCTCAATGGTTTGGTGCCTGCCTGGAGTCCCAGGATCGAGTCCTGCTTCGGGCTGCCCGCGTGGAGCCTGCTTCGCCTTCTGCCTGTGTCTCTGCCTCTCTGTCTCTGTCTCTGTGTCTCTCATAAATAAATAAATAAATAAATAATAAAATCTTAAAAAAAAGTTAAGCAACAACAGTAGCTAAATAATTTTTTTTTTTCAAGTTAAATTTTGATCTAAGAATTAAACCTCGATTTGAGATTTAGAATTGAAGCTTGGCTGTCTTCTCTGGGGGTAAGCTACTCACTGCTTCCAGGGTAAGTCTTGTTGGATGCGTTGTTCTGAATCAATAGGAATTGAGAGACCACATTTTTCAAAAAGCCTCAGACACCCTTCTCTTTCTGAGTGGTGAGATTGTAGTCTACAATGGATGGATCAATTTAGCTGTCAAAATGAAAGCTGAGAGGCCAATTGCCCATGCAAATCAGCCACTTGTGCAAGCCCTTGGAAATTGCCTGCAGGAAGAGCAAGCCTGCCCTTTGAAAATTTGGCACATGGTGACAGAAATGAGAAAGTAGTCACTCTTCAGAGATGGTGATGTCCTGAGAGAGCCGATTTTAGAAATTGCTCATTTTGAGCAGTTGCTTAGTTTTTGGCAACTTGTTTGCTTTCATAAAGAAGTCATTTTTACCCCCTCTCTTTTTCTCCCTCTGTTCCCATGTGTCTCGGCGGCTCAGAACACCTCTCACTGTCTGATGTGGAAACTAAGGAATAGGAGGCGTTCTGTGCCAGCTCTGTTCCCGTCGCTCAGGCGATGCATCTATTCCAGGGCCAGCAGCTCCGACCAGCTTTCTGTGCTCCGCAAAGGATGACTTTGCACAAAGACTAAATGGAAAACAATTGGGTTGCGTTCTTCCTAAACATTGTTAGGATTAGTCAACACTTTGAGAGATGAAATCCCAGTTTTCCGCTTCCGTTTTCTGTAGGCTTCAGCTGTGTTTAATATTTCCAAACCAGCACATTTCCCAGTGACCACCACCTGTGTGATGGAGGGAGCGGGCTGGGCGGATCTGGGTGGGAGAGCTCCAAGTACAAGTGCATTTCTCTTTGCCTTTGGGTTCAACTTTTGGAAGCGTCTGCTTTTCTGTTCAGGGAGGTAGGACTTGCCTCTGCTGGTCTCAGAGCCAGGTGATTGCATCATGAAGGGACCCAGTGTGAGGCCCTGTGTTTCTGTGTGAGGACACACTGTCCACACAGCCACAGCCATCACTGGGACTGGTCTCCAGGTGTTCCTGCATTGGCCCCAAGACACCCAGGGATTTAAAAAAGGGAAATGGTGACACCTGGCACTTGTCTTTTAAAATGCACATGAGATGACTCTCGTAGAGATTCTTTATTAGCTGTTGTTGATCAATATGTGGCATTATTTGTACAGAAAGTAATTAGCTGGTGACTAAAGAGATCATGTCTGATGTGGGGAAAACTTTTCCAAAGGAGGAATTCCTTGAGCCCAGAGCCCCTCAGCGCGCCTGTGGCTTTATGGCTGTCATTCCTCTACATGTCCTGTGCTCCACTGTGATGCAGGAAGATGCATCTGATTGGCCACATACACTGATAAGGAAATGAAGGCAAACCATTTCCTTTTTGGGTGCAATGTCAAAACTCTCAAGCTCGGATTTAAATTTTTCTTTCCTCCCTGTACATTTGTCCTGTCAAACACTTTTGTATAAGATCTCTAGCTTCGTTTGAAAGCCCCAGCTGTTTGCCCTGATGCCCTGCTGGTGGAGACACTACCAGCTTCCGGCTGTGTGCCATTGCAGAATTGGGCGGGGGAAGAACACCTTGCAGAAAAGGAAAAAGTCCTGAGCTGGGACACTTTTTAATGCTGCTCTCAGCATTTGCAAATCGTAATGTCCAACAGTGCTTCAAGTTTTGGTGGCAATATTGAACCGAACCAGAGGCCTATCATTAAGAAAAAGAAACGAAGCTAACTTTTAAAGTTTGAGTCCTGGCCCTGACTTGAAGGTGAAGCAGTCGGTGGTCTTCTATTTGGGGACATCAAAATGAGGCTGCTCCACAGCCAGCCTGCGGCCTGGCCCGCATCAGCCTGCAGCAGAGGGGTAGGGGCTCTGCTCAGTCGCCCTTGCGATGGCACTGGCCAGGCCTCCCTGGCACCGTGGACTTTACGTCACCTCAGGCTCTCTGGACGTTTGCTTTGGATCTTCACACGGTTTTCCTGAATGCTGGAATTTCTGCTTAGGAATGTGGTTGTAGCTGGGAGCAAGGTTCTGCCCTCCTTCCTCTTGCCAGGGGCCCAGGCTGCCTGCCATGGTTTATGTTCCTGAGAGTCTGCGCACCTTGTCAGAGCACCCAGGTACCTGCCTGCTGCTTCTTGTATGCTTGTCCCTTCCCCCTCCTTCCCCCTGGGCCCTTCCTTCCTCTGCCCCGTCCCACTGTCCTCTTCGCGGCCACCTTTGCCTCCTCAGTTCCTCTTTTTCTGTTCCTTCTGTGGGCACCTCCTTTTTGTTTCTGAATGGCTGGGGGCTGCCTTCCTTTCAAATGACATCTTCCTTCCTTCCTTTTCTTTTTTTTTTTTTTTCAGGATTTTATTTATTTATTCATGAGAGACAGAGAGAAGCAGAGAAACAGGTGGAGGGAGAAGCAAGCTCCCTGTGGGGAGCCTGATGCAGGGACTCGATCCCAGGATCCAGGGATCACACCCTGGGCCTAAGGCAGGTGCTCAACAGGTGCCCCAAACAGCATCTTTCTTTACCCTAAAAGCCCTCTGTTGATCTCTCCAAGCACTGTCCACGGGGGCACATGTGTTGGAAGCAAATGACAGAGGTTGTTGGAGGTGACTTCGTGTGACAAGAGCAGAGTTAGGGACAGTCTCAGAAAGGGGCACTGTGTGTGCAGAGAGGCTGTTGATTCTCTTCAAGCAGATTCTGTAGATTGTTCTTCCCAGCCATACTGCTGGCCCTGGACTGGTGAGAAAAAACGATAATATCCTTTCCCTAATTTGTACACTTTAGCAGTGAGAAGTTGGGATTCTCATTGCTGACATTATTGTCTTATATCCAGACACGCTCTGTTTCTAGACTTTCTGTACCAGTAATAGTTTGTAAAAATGGGGCGTGATTTATAGTTGTGCAATTTTTTGTTTTTTTTTAGTATTTTCAAATCTGGAGTTCCCAGTGGCAGCTGCTTGTGGCCTCTGGTTTCTCCCAGTCCCGCCCCGTCTCCCTGCTCACCCACCGTATGGATCTTCCTAAATCTCCCTCTTGTGCTGGTACTCCACGGAGCCTTCAAGGCCCCCCTCCTTTGGACGAGATCTTGTCTTTTTCTTGTGAGAACACTCCCTAGTTGGCTGCCTTTCTAGGGGAGGAGCTCCGTCTAGGAGTTCCGTGGAGCTGCTCCTTGGAGCCCTCTTCCCACTTGGCCATGCTCCGCAGTGGCCGTGCTCACACCCCTCCTGATGCCACCCCTTCCTGCTCCTCAGCCTTGGGTTCCCACTTGGAATTCATTCTCCTGTTTACTTTCTTGTTTTCCTCCAGGGATTGGAGTAGAGGACAGCTTCCTGTCCGTGGTCCTAACAGTCCTCCAGTCCTGTCTTTCCACCTTTAGGTCATTTGCTATGTTTCCCCGGACCCCGTTCAGTTGGCATTCCTGCAGACTCCTGTCTGCTTGCCCCACAGTTGGGTTTCCTCAGTTTCCCCCACCCCAAGTATGGTACCGGACATTCGTGGTCCAGCCTAGGCTGCCTCTGGCCAAATGGCTCTTCATTCTGTCTAGGGTTTTCAGGTATTCCTGCCTTATCTACCACCAGCTTCACCTGTATTTCACCCCACTCGGACACACTTCATCGTGTCTCTGAATATCATACCTGTCCCTTAAATCCCAGATCACATTTCTCTTCTTCTGGGAAGCGCTCCTTGACTTCTCCCTCTCCTCCAATTGCAGGCTTTTATAGAATTGTGTAGGCCCATTGTAGAGTGTCTTGGATGAGCTCCCAAGTGCACAGTGGGTTCTTGCTTTGTCTTCTGACCACCTACCAAGCACAGGGCTGGGTGGCAGTTAACTGACTGATTGAGTGCAAGACGTCTCTTAGTTGAGCCCCATGACCACCGGTAAAATTCTTACAAGTTGGGACATTCTGGTCCAACAGTTCATAGGTTTTCTGAGCTTATACCTGGTGGGGTTTCTTTCCATGACTCCATTCAACATCGTTATGATGCCAGGTGGTCTCATCCGTTTTCATTTTATTGTGATTTTACTGTTGCACAATTTCTAAATTGAGCTTTTAAGACTGGCCTGAAATTTTAATTTTTCTCCTGTATCCTTAGGAGAAAGGCCACTGCTCAGCTGACCTTTGGTTTCTAGAAGAATGTTTAAATCTACATTTTTCCTCTTTCTGAGGAGGTCAGGCTGGGGAGGTTGCATATTTTAGCAGAAAGCCATGTGCTGATGGGCACTTAGGAAGTTATAATTGATGTTTAAATTTTATTTATGCATTTCAATTAAGAGTTTTAAGAGCCTGTGAAGGTGGCCACAGGGTGCAGCTTTTAGGGAAGGTTTATTGTTTGTAAATCATGAAGGGCTGCTGCAGGGGCAGTGTTTTCTGGAGTGAGGCTGTCACTGAGAATTCTGATGCGGAGGACTTAGGCCATTGTTTCTACTAAAGTGGATACCAAGCTAAAAGAGAAAAAAGTTAAGGATAATACAGAATTGAGTCAAATGGGAACTTTTTTGTTTTAATAAAACATAAGCTATTTCTTATTTGATGGCTAGTTAAATATCTATTTTAAAATATTCCGACCTACAGCCCAAGGCAACCCTCTGGGGCTTTGTCATTTCTTTACCTTTTGACTTTCTTCTTAGTTTTCTGGAAAATATGTCAGTGATTTATGATTTATACATCAGGGAATCTGTGACCTTATGGGGGGAGGAGGGGAGTGCTCAGCCCATGGACCCGAAGGGGCCTTTGTCTGTGACTTTAACTTAGCTCTTAGACAAGGTCACTGCCTTGTTGCTGTGGCTTCTGCTGAGTCTACACTGCTCGGTACATGTGGGTGTCGTATTGAGTGTGGTGTATTCCTTCAGAGGGTGGAATGCCAACCCAGACAAGGGTTGACCTCCTAGTGTAGGAGGTCCCAATGTTGTTTGCTGGGCTATCAGGCACCAAGGTGGGAAAAGATCTTCTTTACCACTGATGTAAACACAGACAGGGTAAGAACCTTTCAAGGTGGATGCCTCTGAATCCTCCTGTAGGAAGTGGTTTCCAGTTTAAGCTTTGGACTCTAAAGGGAGTTTTGTTGTCTACCATGCCATGTGTTGGGCCCGGCTCACGGGTGCCAACGTGTCCCGGTGGACGCCCCAGAGACTCAGACCCCAGACAGGCAGATGCAATTAGCAAGAGGATTTATTGAACGTTTGCGCAAAGGGGCTCTCCGCCTCCGAGGAGGAGGAAAAGTGCCCCAATTAGCAATTACAGGGATCTTTTAAAGGCAAAAGGAAAGAAACCGCCTAAAGGCAAAAGAACCGCGGGAGTCGCATAGCGTCCAGGTTGATTTCACAGAGGGTCAACATGAACCTATTCAGGGACATTCCAATCAGGGTGTGGGGGAAATGGTTTTCTTATTGTGAACAGAATGCTTTTAGTTGCTAAAATTTCAGGAAGGCACCTGGATGGGCTGCCTCTGGGTTAGGGCTGGCCCTACTTACAAGGGGGGAGGTTTCTTCACGCGTACACTGCACTGGGCATGGTGCCACTTGAGTGGTGCCTTTTCATAAGAGAGGGGCTTGATTTTGAAATCAGAAGTTGGCCCTGGAGCATCCAGCGGTCCACACTGTGGGCTGTTCCTGCCTGGATTGAAGGGGGAGTCCTCTTCTGCACTATTTATCTGGTTGAGTCAATGATTCTGAATTCCCAGCAGTGCCCTTTTTGGCCTCTGAGTCTTTTGACATTTCAGAGGATGGCCATCCTCCGCAGGTGTGACTCTTAGATCTTATAGCTGGGGACCCTATCAATTAATTTATGACTGCACTGACGGAAGATAGGAGAGCTCAGCCTTTAGACCTAATTATCAGCCCTGTTTTAAATTTAATTCTGACACATATGAGTTTATAGAAATTGCCAGGTATTCCTGGCAATAATGAGTGGGTCTGTCCAACCTTGTCCCTTAAATTTTAACTAAGAAATAAACAAACACAAAGACATTTTAGGGCTAATTTTAAAACATGTTGGGGCTCAAGAGAGGATGCGGGTGTATTCCAACATGCCATTGTATAAAGAAGTTCAGACTAGCATGTTTGTTGCCACAGCCAAAGGAGAGATTGGTGGTGGGAGAGAGGAATTAGCTGCTCCTACGAAGTTTTTCTGGACTGAGTATGCCTTCTTACCTTGGAGAGAGCTCTCTTACTCCTCTTTTGGCCTCAAGGATTTGCATCTGCACCTCCTCTTGTCCAAAGGATGATGTCACGGGCTTTCAAAGACTCAGCTGGGACCACGTTGGGCTTGGTGATGCTGTAGTGTGTGTGTGCGCACCTGGGCTGTGCGGGCTTTCCTGGGCAGTTCTGAATGTGTTGTTTGGGATTGCCCCTGGCTTCCTGTGAACTAACCAAAGGCACCCGATGGAGGCAAAGAGCCTCATGGAGAGACAGTGTCACTTAGTCTGCTCCCTGGCCTCTGGACCTCAAGACTTCCAAACGGCTGATTTCAACAGATATAAAATTTTACAAATTTCCAGATGCCGGAATTCAGTTTATTTTCTGCAGGCAGATGGCCATTAGATAATTACTGAAGTAGTGTGGGAACCACTGCATAGAGGAATAGCCAGAATGTTCCAGGAAGTTCTTCTTCCCTTTTTCTCATCATCATTCTAGCTGCTATGCAAGTGTATGTGTGGGGATAGGCAACATCATTGTGTTCCAGGCTTACTGGAAGCCAGAAGCTGCAGAGCAGGGAGTAGAAAGAGACTATGTGAACTAGGACAATAGAACCTGCATGTGCGCTGAAAGGACAGTATTTGAAGTAACAGGTGTCCCTCACTACGAATTCATTCTTTATGAATCAGAAAGGGATGGTAACCCATTTCTTGAGTTTCTGGCATATATGGTTCTAGCGAGGCTAATTCTTGTAGTAGTCTTTCTGTCACATTAGAGTATCAAGTTTTCGGGATTTTTATGTTAAATTGAAGAGATGGGGGGGTGATTAGTTGGTGGAATAAGATGAATTCATTTTAGTGAAGTGAATGCTTTCATGGTTTACAGTTCTTTTCCTAATAAAGTTTCTTGTGCACCAAATAAATTAATGTGTAAATAAAAATACAAGTTCAAATTATTGGTATAGTTTATTCTCTGCCTTCTGCCTTTGCTTCTTATTTTTCAAATGCATTACTTAAAATGCAGTATATACCCCACAACAGGATGAAAGAGCCCTCATAAAACTGGTAAATTCACACAACCAATCTGAATTTGATGTTCAAAATGCTTAAAGTAATTTACATGGGTTTGAAACGATGGTCCTTTTGGTGTTTCATGAGATGTGTTTGCGTATGTTAACGGCATAGGAATTGTTTTTTTCTTTTTCTGGAGAAGGAAACCCATCAGTATGTGGGATATAAGGCGAGGGCTATCTGTTGTGATTTCCGAGCTGGGAAAACTTTGCTCTAAGTCTTACATCACTAAAACAGCTTGCTGGTTATGCAGGGCCTTCCTGGAAGTTTCTAGAATTGATAAGCAATGACCATAGCCTCTTTTAAAATGGATTAATAGGATCTGTTTTTTTCTTTTGTTTTTTGAAGTGCCGGCATGTGAGGTGGGCTCGAGTGCCCAGGTGCTGTGGATCCGTAGTGTGATACATGATCCAGGAAACGCTCCCCCCTTTCCCTCCTTGGTAAGTCAAACACCTCTGTGGGAAATGAAGACACCGCCAGTTTTATAGATTGAGACACAGTTATAGCTTATGAGTGTCACTTATCTCTGCTGTTAAAAATGGCAGTGAATGACCAAAAAAACGCAGCCCCAGAGAGGTGAGGCAATCTGCTCACGATTTCCCAAGTAATCGGAGGCAGAGCTGGGATTTGAACCCGTGTTCTTAAGCCTAACATAATACTACCTCATAGTGCTGGGAATACTTTCTGAGAATCAGGCAGACACGCTTTTTAATTTTTTTTTCCCTTACTGAAAAAAGAGAAGCTCACAATAAATAGTAAGAAATTAGTTTTTCAAACAACTGTCTAAATCAGGAGATGGCAAATTTTTTCTGCAAAGGGTGAGCTAGTCAATATTTTAGGATTTGCTGGCCATATAAATCTCTGTTTCAACAGCTCAACTCTATGTTGAAGCACTCACGCAGCCACAGACAATAGGTAAATGAGCAGACATGGCTGTGTTCCAATAAAACTTTATTTACAAGGACCAGAGGCCAGCTGAGCTGGATTTTGCCCATAGGCTGTAGTTTACCGAGCCTTGGTCTGTATACTTACACACTCAGAGATCTCACAGTATGACGAGTAAGTGTGTTTTAGTGGCCAGTAGGTATGAGTCCTTTAGCAAAATTTCGCTTGGATGCTCTGAATTTAATCTTAAGTGACTTTTAGTGAAGTCTCCTGTAATTGTAAAAACCTACTCTTTATTTTTTAATTATAATTTTTATATTTATTTATTTATTTAAATATTTTATTTATTCATAAGAGACACAGAGAAAGAGGCAGAGACATAGGCAGAGGGTGAAGCAGGCTCCCTGCAGGGAGCCTGATGAGGGACTCCATCCCAGGACTCTGGAATCATGACTTGAGCCAAAGGCAGATGCTCAACCATTGAGCCACCCAGGCATCCCAAAACCTGCTCTTTAGAATAAATGCATCTGCTGTCCAATGCTTGACATAAGTCTGTAGGCCCCAAGTGTATTAGCTTAAGGCAGGTACCTAGCTTGCAGCTTTGCTCCAAGTAGGCTTGATAAACACTGTTCTTTCAGTGTATTTAGTTAGTCTAGAATGTATAACTCTATTATGAAATAAGATCAGATGGCATTTCCTCTTTTGGTCTCTGTGTAGTTTCTAAATGTGACATTTTTATTTTGCACCCTTAAAAATGCTATTGCTTATACTTATTAGGGCAAACATGCAATTATTTTGGGCTGTCTGATAATTGTGTTGCTCAAAAGTGTTCTGGTATCACATCTTCCTCTTTTATTATGAGCAAAACCAGATGTTTATAAGAGTCAAGTTTGAACAAGGTTGATGCACATAAATCATGGGATAACATGGTGATCTCTTTGCCACATACGTTAAATGAGGTGGTTCTATGTTTTTTGGACTTAACTTTTTCTATTTTATTTTTATTTTATTTTATTTTATTTATTTATTTATTTTATTTTATTTTATTTATTTTATTTTATAATAAATTTACTTTTTATTGGTGTTCAATTTACCAACATACAGAATAACACCCAGTGCTCATCCTGTCAAGTGCCACCCTCAGTGCCCGTCACCCATTCAACCCCACCCCCCGCCCTCCTCCCCTTCCACCACCCCTAGTTCGTTTCCCAGAGTTAGGAGTCTTTATGTTCTGTCTCCCTTTCTGATATTTCCCACACATTTCTTCTCCCTTCCCTTCTATTCCCTTTCACTATTATTTATATTCCCCAAATGAATGAGACCATATAATGTTTGTCCTTCTCCGATTGACTTACTTCACTCAGCATAATACCCTCCAGTTCCATCCACGTTGAAGCAAATGGTGGGTATTTGTCATTTCTAATGGCTGAGTAATATTCCATTGTATACATAAACCACATCTTCTTTATCCATTTATCTTTTGATGGACACTGAGGCTCCTTCCACAGTTTGGCTATTGTGGACATGGCTGCTAGAAACATCGGGGTGCAGGTGTCCCAGCGTTTCACTGCATCTGTATCTTTAGGGTAAATCCCCAGCAGTGCAATTGCTGGGTCGTAGGGCAGGTCTGTTTTTAACTCTTTGAGGAACCTCTACACAGTTTTCCAGAGTGGCTGCACCAGTTCACATTCCCACCAACAGTGCAAGAGGGTTCCCCTTTCTCCACATCCTCTCCAACATTTGTGGTTTCCTGCCTTGTTAATTTTCCCCATTCTCACTGGTGTGAGGTGGTATCTCACTGTGGTTTTGTTTTGTATTTCCCTGATGGCAAGTGATGCAGAGCATTTTCTCATGTGCTTGTTGGCCATGTCTATGTCTTCTGACAGATAGATTTTTGTTCATGTCTTTTGCCCATTTCATGATTGGATTGTTTGTTTCTTTGCTGTTGAGTTTAGTAAGTTCTTTATAGATCTTGGAAACTAGCCCTTTATCTGATACGTCATTTGCAAATACCTTCTCCCATTCTGTAGGTTGTCTTTGAGTTTTGTTGACTGTATCCTTTGCTGTGCAAAAGCTTCTTATCTTGATGAAGTCCCAATAGTTCATTTTTGCTTTTGTTTCTTTTGCCTTCGTGGATGTATCTTGCAAGAAGTTACTGTGGCCAAGTTCAAAAAGGGTGTTGCCTGTGTTCTCCTCTAGGATTTTGATGGAATCTTGTCTCACATTTAGATCTTTCATCCATTTTGAGTTTATGTTTGTGTATGGTGCAAGAGAGTGGTCTGGTTTCATTCTTCTGCATGTGGATGTCCAATTTTCCCAGCACCATTTATTGAAGAGACTGTCTTTCTTCCAATGGATAGTCTTTCCTCCTTTATCGAATATTAGTTGACCATAAAGTTCAGGGTCCACTTCTGGGTTCTCTATTCTGTTCCATTGATCTATGTGTCTGTTTTTGTGCCAGTACCACACTGTCTTAACTTTTTCTTTCTTTCTTTTTTTTTTTTTTTTTTTGTCTTAACTTTTTCTTACAGAAGGATACTTCTGACACCTGAAGGCCTATCTGATTATTGTACTGGTTATCATCTAAAAAGATGGGTGTGTGTGGGGGCACCTGGGTGACTCAGTTAGTTAAGCATCTGACTCTTGATTTCAGCTCAGGTCTTAATCCTAATCTCAGGGGTGTGAGATCGAGCTCAGTGTGGAACCCACTTGGGATTCTCTCTCTTCTTTTCTGTCCCTCTCCTCTCTCTGTCTTTCTCTTAAATAAATAAATAAAATCTTAAAGATGAGTGAGGGAAAACTGAATAGTTTTTGTTTCTTTAAGGATTTTGAGCAGAAAAGTGCTCTTTTTGTTTAATCATTTATCCTTTCCTTAATTCATAGAAACACATAACTTTAGCAAGCCCATGAGCCTGATACAGCCACTGGTCCCTAGGTATTTTTTTCCATGAATATTGAAAGGATTCTTCACTTTAATAGCAATGATATAAAAAGGTAAATTTAGATTCAAAAGTAATGGAAAACTATATATGGCATCGTATTAACTGGAAACAGCAGGTTTCAAAATAATGTATTTAATAAAATCCCATTCATCTTAAACACATACACATAATCTGTACACACAAGTGCATGTGTGTTAAGTCTACTAGAACATATATCAGCAATATATGCCAAACTCTAAACAGATTATCTCTATGTTTGAGGATGTTTGCACTTTATGAGTCACATATTCACTGCTGTAGGTTTTCAGCAGTATTATACATGTGCAATCTAAAAACAATGAAAAAGAAAAGATTAAAGTAGTGAGTGCTCATCATAGAAATTGTGTAAAAGAAGGGGAAAAAAATTCACCCATAGTGCTTTTGACATGGACTAACACTATTGCCATTTAATGTAGTCTTTTATAATATATTTTTGATAAGGAATTTAGAGAGTGGAAATAATGATAAACATAAAATTTTTCCTATTGTTTTTTCACTTGTTATATACTTTTTATTATACATATATGATATCATATTACTGAAAATTGTTAATAAACCTCATTTTAATGTCACATAATAGTCCATCATGTAAAGGCAGTATAAAGCAACTTATTTCTTTTTTGCTGGATATATATACATATTATTTTTAGGTAACAAAAATCATAGACAGTGCTAAAACGATCATGCCAAGGGGAGGGTAGCTCACACTCATATACCTGGATTTGAATCCTGCTTTCCAGCTTCTTGTAGCTCACACTATGATCTACATTGTGGAAAGGAGACATTTAGTGCATAAAGTATATGCTTCATAAATGATAAGAACCACTATTATCAAGCTTTCTTTTATTTTTTTTTATTTTTATTTTTTTTTCATTTTAAGTTTTTATTTAAAGTCACATATAACGTTACTTTACTCCTGCATCTTCTCAATGGTTTCTTCCTTATATTTGCCCTTTTCTTTTCCTACTTGGCGAGATTTGGCTTTACGCTCAAGGATCTTTTTGCGGTCTTTGTCCAGTTTTAGTCTAGTGATAACCACCTTGCTAGGGTGAATGCCCACGTGGACAGTTGTGCCATTTGCCTTCTCTCGCTGTACTCGTTCAATGTAGATGACATACTTCTTCCTGTAAACCTGGACTACTTTGCCGATTTGCTGACCTTTGTAGTGTCCCCGCACAACTTGCACTTCGTCATCCTTCCGGATGGGCATGGACCACACGTTGTACTTCTGCCTCAACTCTTTGGAAAGCGGGGAAGACATGATCTTCCTGCGAATGTGGGAAGGCGCATTGAAATGCCCCTTACGATTCTTGCTCTGGTCACAAGTCACAAACGGATTGAACTTCATGTTGGCTGCGAGCGCCTCAGCGATGGCCGCAGAAGGGAAGAACTCAAGCTTTCTTTTAATTGAAGATTCATTCATTAGGTCTGATTAGCTGCCATTGACTTATTATTTTAAAACCAACCATTTTCAATAAGATTGAAATTCATCAAATTGGCTTTGCAAAACTGTTGTAGATATTCTTGACCAATAGTATGTTAAGTCGGTTCTACTAAAACTTCACTATTATTGA